GCTGTGAGCTGGCTGTGCACGTGGTGGAGGCAGGTTGCTGGTGCTGGGTGCCGGTGCTGGTGCTGCTTGTGCGCGTGGTGGAGACAGGTTGCCGGGTGCTGGTGCTGTGAGCTGGCTGTGCACGTGGTGGAGACAGGTTGCTGGTGGTGGTGCTGGGTGCCGGTGTGGAGGTGCCGTAAGCTGGCTGCGTAGATCTTGTTCGAGCCAGTCCCATGTCAACAGGTTGTGGGATTCTGCCTAGCTATCTGGGTCTATGCTGGTGTAATTGCTTGGATGGCTTCACTCAGGCCGATATCACGTTTAGAAAAACCAAAAGTCTCTTGTTCTGTTCTTCAGGTGGCTAGTCCAGAGTCAGCTAGCTCATCTACGCGCTCCACCCATGCCTTTTCAGCTTTTGGCCAAAGTGGAATCATCTCACATGGCTGTGAAGCTGGCAGTCTGTGAAGCTGGCAGCAGGGAACACACACAGTCTGTCCCACCGGGTGGGAGCTCCGCGCATCGCGATTTCGCCGCGGCCACCCGAGGTCCTGGGGTCCTGCCCACCCACGCTGGACTGGCTCTGATGAGTCCAAGGCACTCGGTGCGTCCACGGCACCTGGTGAGGGCACGGAGAACGGCGCCGTGTGCCGCGGCCGTGGCGCAAGGTCTGCGGACCGTGTCATCCTTTTCCACCACGAGGAGAAAGGTCGGACGGTCTGCGGGTCTGACTTGTGACTGCATAGATGACCAAGCGCTTCTGGGTTTCTTGGCATGCATTGAGAGGTTTGTCATCCATGCCAATCTTTGTAAGTCTAGAGTCTAGCAGCAAAACACAGTAGGATGTGGGGTATTGTCATGCATCTTGTTTGCAGAAAAAACAGAATTCTTTAGCTTCTTCAATCTACAAAAGTCCTTAGCCAATTCTTCGATCCCCAACATTTGATTGGGAACTACAGTAGTTAGCAGCATGACTCAAGCCTTCAGTTCTGCAGTCAATTCTTGCTTTGATAGGCAGCGACAATTGCACTTCTGTGGCGTTTAAGGTGGGAATCATCCGACTTGAGTTGGAGGGAATGTCACTGCGAAGCTTAGCTCCAGCAGGATGGAAGAGTACACTTGGTGACTTTTGTCGAACAACGGGAGCACCATGGTGCTTCCTTGGCCGTGGACGTCGTGCGCCAATATATTCACTGGGTCCTTTTCCATGACGTCCAGTTCTTTCATTCCACAGACCACAGGGTCTCACTAAGTCTCAGCGCGTGTGCTGCATGTGCACCGACCCTAGGCAGAGGGTCGTAACGACCTTGGAAGCTGAGACAGATTCCTTGTTGGTGCAGATAGAGGACATTCTGGCTTAACAAACACCTCCAAGCCCTCTGACAATGCGAAGAGCAGATGAAGCCTTACCTGGAACTCTCTCAAGTCAATCACGCTCCGTCCATCAGCTTCACATATATAACTCATGAAGCGGTTTTGGCGTGCAGGTAGCGGAGGTTCGAAGACGTTTGTGAGAGTCCCAGTTCAAAAGCATCCCTGGAAAAGGTACAAAGCTGCGATATAGAGCCAGATGATGCTAGGGACACACAGCTCCTGACAAATACTCATCAGTTTGGGCATTGATGCGCCCGACTTTCAAGGGAGCAGGCCTTTACATGAGAGCCGCCTCGAGATGCTTTTGATCAGATGCTCCTCCTTTAGATCTCAGCGGAGGATGTGCCGGTGCGTGAACCAGGACACATTTGCAGCCGAAAGCGTCAAGTCCTGACCGTTGGCTGTCCATCTCGCATGCGCACTTTCCATGTTCAGGATATGCAGTGACAACCTGAAAGAGCAGACGTAGAAGCCGTGCTAGTGCAGGCCTTTACGAATGCCACGGTGACGCAAGGTTTTGACAGTGGCGAACTTCACCATGCGCGTTTGCCCGCTTGATCCTGACGTCCAGATTAAATGCAGGTCTTTTGTAGTGTCCAGATAAACCTCTCACCAGGCAGATCTTTCGTAGCGGGCATTCGTTGATCGTTCTGGCTACGTGCGCTCACAAAGCTGCTCTGCTCGGGTGACACTGACCCACCTTGGATCCACCGAACCGCGCTAGGCGCGAAACGACCGAACCGCGCAGAGCCGACGCGAAGCCGCGCCTTTCGCGCTCTTCAGAAGTCGACGTAGAAGGCCGCGAGAAGATGGTGCCTTGGTCCGAAAACAACGACACACCCTGCTGAACCGCCAAGAGGTTTGAATTTTTACCATCCTGAAATGGGCTTCTCCGACACTCTCAGGATCACCTTGGAGGCAACAGTATTGAACGCAAGCAGATGGCAGTGGGTGCCCAGGTGCCTTCCAGTTCAGCGATTCCACCAGTTCGCAAAGGAAGATTTCAATCTTGCTATCAACAGAGAAGTTTTCAATCTTGCAAACCGTACATTCTACCAGAAAGTTTCCCATAAGCCCTGGACATCGATTTCCAGCTCGAACAGCTGCGCGTTGCGCGCAAACTGCAACACAGTTGGATTAAGCTTTGGCCTGTGGCCAGTTGGATCGATCTTTGCACGGCTCCGACTCGACCCCCGTGCTCCGACTCGTCGGGAAAAACAGGAGAGTTTCGTGCTCGTTTCGCCGCAGACGCTCGTTTTGCGGCGTTCTTGGGTCTGTTGTTTTTCAAGACTTGCGTCTTATGTTTTAGGTCATGGTGGGTCATGGTGTTGATTCGTTTCTTTTGCAGTCTGAAAGTAGAACAAGGGGAGAAGAAAGAGGATGGAAGTAGTTGACTTTCAGTACACCCAGTCGGCGGATGCGACAAGTGGCTTGGATATATATATATATATACAATACATATATGTATATATATATATATATATTGCATACACTCATACACTACGCTCTCTCTCTCTCTCTCCATATAAATATAAGATACTCGTACCAGGCTGAATTCCTGTCGCATCGGAACATTTTCAAAAAGTCTTGGACTTCCAGGGTGTGGTCAGGGTGGGGGGTGAGGATCAAATCCCTTGCTGGATCTGGTTTTTCAGGCAGGCCAGTTCACCCGGAGCGCCATTGGACGCACATGATATGGGTGATTCTCACATACATGAACTATGCATTGACCAATTTTTTGGGGCCAAAAACCAAAACCAAAAGTAAAGCGCAAGTTCTCAGAAAGGTCATGAAAGGTCTGCCACATGCCATTTGCATATTCTACACTATGTACAAGGTGAGAAAGTCACATGTTGGATGACATGCATCTGCATTGTACAGCCGGACGGATATGAACTGATCGCGGCTCGGAGGCACATGGACCGAGAGAACCATGGACTGCTCGCTGACCGGTCACGTCCCCCGCACCGGTCCGTTCTGCTCCGCCGTAGGTCGCCTGGCGTGTCGCCGCCGTCGGCCGGTTGGCTCCGCGAACGGCTCCCCTCGTGTGGCGAAGCCCGCGCCCGGCTTCCATCGCGACCGTAAGGTGCGAACGTGTTGCCGTGTTGGCGGCATGCGTATGGTAGTCAGCGACCTATAGCCTATAGCGTGTGCTTCTCTAATCGATCGAAGGACCCCGTGGAAAATGGGGGTGCTGCCTGTCGCAGCAGCCTCAGCAAGGTCGGTGTTTGCCTCGTTGGATTGCGGAGCTCACCCGTCCATTGCCTCGGGCAAAAGGGGGAATTTTCGATCTCAGGGGCTTCATTTTCTCGAGCCCGCAGTTTTTGGGGTCTAGATCTGCCAAGGCACTTCTTGCACATTCGCAGAGGTCACGCATTCGGCAGAAGTTGGCGTCACAAAGATGGTCGCCTGTGGCGTCGCCTGTGGATTAGACTAGACTTGAAGAGGCTGCACCAGTATGCTTGGCGGCGCAACCAGCTGGACTGAGGACACACGTGACTGTCAGTGCGTCCGTGCACATGAAGACTTATGGACACACACACACACCTATGATTTGGTGTACTGAACTGAAAGCGGCCACACGCCAGCCTAAGTGAAAAACCTAAGGAACCAGGGTGAACATGTGAAAATCTAGCGACCATCAAACCTGCAAAGGCTTGCAACGTTCTCAAAAGGTTGCAGGTTCAAGCTCACGAAACTGCCAAAGTGACTTGCCGCTGCATTAGATGGTTACTGCAAAACACAGAAGTGGAACAGCTTGTTCATTAAGTAGGTTCTCTTCAAGCAGGTACGTCAATCCGGCGTCCCGGATTGACTTCACAGACCAGTGCAAGCGTCTTTGTTGGTGCCAGACTTGCACGGTCCCTGGCACCCCCTGCTGAACAAAAAACAAAAACACAATCCGAGTGGATCCCTGTGACTACAAGCGGCACACACGTATGGATATGCGTACTGATTTGACAGCGGTGCCACACGCCAGCCTAAGTTTTTAAAAGGCCTGAGGTGTCAGGAAAATAGTAGGTTAAAGGCCATCGGTTTTGGGTTGGAGGCCAACGCAAGGCTGTTGGGGGCCAAGACCTAAGGTTGGAGGCCATCGCTAGTAGGCGGTGGACCATAGACACAAAGTGACAGCAAGAAGCAAAGTTGGAGGTCATCGCTAGTAGGTTAGAGGCCAGGGTACCAAGTTGGAGGCCAGAGCTACCAGGTTACAAAAAGCACAAGAAGCACAAGAAACACAAGACAGCCAAGGTTGGAGGCCCTTGCTAGTGGGTGGAGGCCAGGGTACCAAGTTGGAGGCCAGTGCTACAAGGTTACAAGAAGCACAAAAAGCACAAGAAACACAAGACAGCCAAGGTTGGAGGTCATCGCTAGTGGGTGGAGGCCGAAGTTCAGGTTAAAGATCCCCTTACAAAGTTAGGAGGCCTACCTGCAAACCTATAGAGTAGGCTAGAGGAAAACAGAAGGAAAGGCACCGACACACAAGTGTGTCGAGTACCATTTCCTCTTGTTTTCCTAAATAATGGAACAGGTACGGAAGTTTGCGTCCAAACTTCCATCCAGTCGATTTCCATAGCTTCATTGGCGTGACTAGGAAATCGACCGTCACGCCCCCTGTTCCAAACCTAAAGGTTCTTTTTGATTCCAAGGGTTACACACACACACACGCCTCCCCAAGGGGAGGATGCTCGTACTCAGTAGCGTCCTTGCATCTAGTAGTAAGGCCAGGAGCCCCTAGTAGCGTCCCACTTTAATGGCCCGACAGGAGGGAGGGGGAGGGAGAGAAGAGAAGAAAGAAAAGAAAGGACAGGAAAAGAGGTGTTCCCAGCTACGACACAAGCGTCCAAGGACACACCCAGAGAGGAAGAGAAGGGTTATCCAGGGACACCCAAAAGAAGAAGTAAGAGGGAGAAAGGAAAAAGAACGAAAACAGGTGTTCCCAGCTACGCGCAAGCGTCCAGGGACACACCACGGAGAGGGGTAAACCTGAGTTTTACATTCAGGTAAACCCCAAACAGGCAAAGAGAGAAGAAGGGGGGAGGGTAGGGGGGAGGAAGGGACTAAGGTCCCAACAGACTCCAACGAGTCTTGAACAAGCTTCGGCCGCTGCGGCCACTTACGCCGTGCCAAAATGGCTGGCAGCTTTGACCGCTACGGTCAAGTTAAGGCATGAGCCAGCTTGGAATTCAAGAAATTGGACATAAATCTGCGTTCTCTCGGCCTAGGCCACCTACGCTCGCTGTGAGCAGCTTTGTATCCGGGCAGGGGATACGTTCGACAAACCCCCGTTAAACGGGTCCACAGGGGGCACTCTGCGGGCTCACCCGGGCTCTCACTAGGAGAGACACACTTATGATTTGGTGCACTGAACTGAAAGCGTTGCCACACGCCAGCCTAAGTGAAAAACCTAAGAAGCCAGGGTGAACACGTGAAAATCTAGTGACCATCAAACCTGCAAAGGCTTGCAACGTTCTCAAAAGGCTCCAGGTTCAAGCTCACGAAGTTGCCAAAGTGACTTGCCGCTGCATTAGACGGTTACTGCAAAACACAGAAGTGGAACAGCTTGTTCATTAAGTAGGTTTCTCTTCAAGCAGGTACGTCAATCCGGCGTCCCGGATTGATTGCACAGACCAGTGCAAGCGTCGTGGTTAGTGCCAGACTTGCACGGTCCCTGGCACCCCCTGCTGAACAAAGAACAAAAACACAATCCGAGTGGATCCCTGTGACTACAAGGGGCACACACACATTGAAGTAACTTCTTCCTTCCCTTGCTTCCTTGAAACGTCACAAGCCCCTCTAATGGTCTCCAACTCCTGAGGTTTTGATGGCTGAGTTGCCGTGGTTTTGGCTCGAAAGAGCTTCGCTAGAAGATTGGTGCATCTTTTTGAAAACGTGATAGCGGCCAAACACTTTCCACCAGAAGAAGTTACATAAAGACTTTTCACAAGACATGTGTTATGTTATTTATGTTGTTGCAAGTTCCTTTTGCATGTTTTTGTCATGGCTTTGAGCATTTTGAGCCAAGATGAGGCGTTCCTGTACTTCAATTCGCTCGCGATACACATTCTTAATGAACAATTGAGGCTCTCTGAGTGAGCTTGAATTCGTCCATTAACACTTGCACAGAACTCTTGGTCGCGTTTTTTGCGTGCCCGGAAAGCAGTTTCAGCTGCTGGGTTTGCGCCAACCGGGCCTCGGCCTCGTTTTCAGCTGCGGCGCAGTAACCGTGTCCGTTGCGACCCGTTTGGCCTTTCTTCGGCGATTCCGCCGATGGCCTCGTGGCGAGACCCGAAGGGGTGCGAAGGGCAGAACGGGTCGTTGGAGCGCTCCAGCGCCGAGATTCGCGAGAATTCGCGCTGTCCCAAAGAATCGGCAATTTCTTTGACAAGTTCCAATTTCAATAGCTGGTTGAGACATTTGAGCAACTTCAAAGACCTCTATGAAAAGTGTACAAACTGCAAACTACCTGCTTTTGCAAAAGGCAAAACGCAGGTCGCGAAAGGTTTGCGAAAACCCCGCGAAAGCCTCTATAAGAACTAGTGTTGCGAAAGCTTTCCCAAAAGTCGAATTTCTTATCCCAATCGATTTTCCCAATTGAACACGACTCGTCGCGAAAGAACATGCAAAAGCTCCACATAACACTACACCTTCCGCGAAAGCCCAAACGCAGGTCGCGAAAGCTCTTGCTTTCAGCCCCTGCGAAAGCAAAGCTGTTTCGTATACATAAAAACAGGTTTTTGAGCGGTTTTTGAAGCCGCTCATTTCATGGCAAAGCGATTTATGCCCGATGCATCGGGCAGGCTGCGGCAGCCGTGGAAAAAGACCTTCCTGCTCGGCAAGCCAACTTGCAGTCCAATCTCAAAATGCCGCAGAAGAACCTTCGTTTGATCGCTCATGTCCATGATTGCAGTGCTACGAAGGAACCATGGCGGCCCATTTCGGGGCCAGAAGTATGGAACCAAGCTTTTAGCTTCCAACACCGCGGCCTGCTCTGCTGCTTGCAAGCCCGGTTGAAGGACTCCTAGCCTAGCTCCCCTCAGAAGGCTTCACAGGCTTCACAGTTGCCATACGATTGAATCATTGAACCGAACATGACCAAGGAATAGCTGCTTAACCTTATCACCTCTACTGTGAATCAACATACCTTTTGTTGTTGCAGCACCGTCAGCCGATGGCAAGGAGCAAAGAGCGAAGAGGTTTTTGAAAGGGACCCA